CATGACCTCACCTCCGTTGAAGCCATACAAGGTCGTAGCCACTGGTTTCAGCTCCACATTCAGCTCCTTATTAATCTGCACAAAACAATCATAGAACATGACATCGACTGAGCTCCCTGTATCAATAAATACCCTCTTCACATCAAAACCTACCACCTCCGCTGTTATCACCAACGCATCATTGTGAGGTAACACCACTCCTTCAGCATCCTCAGCTCGATCTCTGGTACTCGAGAAGTAATACCTGCTTTATCTCTCTTCCGCTTCATCGCTCGAACATATCCTTTCCTTGCGTTGTTCGAGTCCCCATCTGTCGGCCCCCCATAAATCATGTATATCGTTCCCCTCTTCACAGGGCCTATATCCTCCTGCCTTCCTCGATCATTATTTCCGCGTCTCCTCTTGCCTCCAATATCCCTTCGACCGCCTCTCCCTTCTCGAGCATCATCTTCTTCATCATCGTCGCTATCCCTCATCTCCATCGAGTCCTCCCGACACCTCCTCTTCTCCTTGCCCTTCACCCTTTCGTGGTATACAAACTCCTTAAGATGCCATGCTCGAATAAGGCGCTCGATCTCATCTTTGAGGTGCCGACTGTCCTCTGTCATGTGACCGCAATCCTTGTGGAATTGGCAATACCTCTGCGATTTTGGCTGGGTCGGCCCCTCGAACCTCGACCTAGGCCATGTAACATCCTTACTATTTATCTCCTTCTCCATGGCCACCAACACTTCCCCCACCTTTGCATTCAACGGCGTAAAATTATGGAACCTCTTCCCTTCGGCAATAGGTCGATCATTCTACTTATCTTGCCCCGATCATGCCTACCACGTCCTTCACACCTGGGCGATCCTCGCCTCGGTGACCCCCTCTTGGGAGAATTTTCTTTCCCTTTCTTTGGCTATGGTCGAGCCAATTTTTCCAACTTAGCAAACTCCGCCTCCGTCTCCTCGTGGTTGATATACTTTTTGCGCCTTTTCAGTATCTCATCATAAGTACGAGTAGGGGTCTTAGCCAGAGAAGTTCGACACGGCCCTGCTCGAAAACTCCTTATCAATCCTCCCGCTTTAACCTCATCCGCAGCCGTTGGGATCTCCAAACAGGCCTGATTGTATCGAGCTACGTACTTACGCAACGACTCCTTCTCTCCTTGCCTCATAGCCATCAAAGTCAAGTATGTCTTCTCTTGGGCTACCGCACTTGAATATTAGTTTGTCAGCATCTCGGCAAAGTCCTCGAAGTCTATGATCAACCCTGAAGGGAGGTGTTGAAACCAGTCGAGCGGGCATCCCCTCAAGGTCAATAAAAATGCCCTGCAACTAACATGATTAGTATATCCATGTAACACAGCCATATTTTCAAATGTCCTCACATGCCTTGACGGATCAGAGGTCCCGTCGAACACAAAACTCGTATCTCTAAAATTAGTTGGCAAGGGCGCAACCAGTATGTCTCCTGAAAACGGCTGTTCTCGAGCACACCTTTCCGTTCGACCATCCACCTTGGCCTACAACTGACACAGCTGCTCAGCAATCCTTTCCATCACTCGATCATGCGGGACTTCACCTCCTCTATAACTAGATACGTCCTCCTTTGCATTCTGGTGGGTACCCGCCACTGTGGTTGGTGCGGTAGCTGCTCGAGAAATGTTGTTTGTAACCTGTTGCACCACCTGCGCAGCCGTGTCTGCCACCATCTGTTGCATCTCTTGCCTAGTCATCACCACTTTCTGACCAGAGTGCTGCTCCTCCAACCTCGGTGGTGCTACTCCCAGCACCACGAGTCCCATGGGCTGTACCCTGGCCAGATCTGGTTGTGATGGCGTTAGTATCACCGTCACAAGTGCTGCACGAGCCTCCTGAGCACGACTGGAACCTGCTTCTCCTCCGGGGACCACCGGCGGCATCTCCACACCTTAAGGAGTAGGCGCAGGGATTACCAGCATCCACGTAGGACAAGAGAAACCCGAAAGAGGGCCCTCTCCAAACGGCCTCGTCGTCGTCCAAGTTTCATCGAACGATGGTTGCAAATTGATTCTAGGAATTCCGTTTGCCATAGCCACTAAACTCAATAACCTTAGCACACCACTTTTTGCACGAGAGTCCCACAAATGGCGCTAAATGGTAACGTAAAACTCTCCGGCCAGCTTGAACCCGATTAATCGCCTTCCTTTTTGCTGGTTGAATGCCACGCACCTACAAAAAACTCTCACACCGGAAGGGTTTTCCGGTGAAGATCCTCTAAAGCTTAAGTCAGTGTTTGTTCAATCAATTCTCAAAGGTAAAAAATGTAGTGATCGTGTTTAACAAGAAAAACTCACCCCCATATATATGGGGGTGAGGTACCTGACCTGGGGGCTGCCCGAATTTGTTGAGCTAGCTGCCCAGGACTACCCGTCCGTACACACGCAGGGTGAGTGTCAGAGATAACCGTCACCACTACCTTCTGCACCAATATCTATGCGCCACGTGTCCTCCGCACATGGGGTAAATATTCTCTCATGATTCTGCTGACGTCCTTCTAACATACCATTAGAGGTTCTCACGTTTGACCTTATCCGAGTCAATCCTTTAAGTCGTCTTCCATTCGCAGTGTGGTCGACCACCAAGCCGTGCATGGCCTGTAGAGCGACCACTTAGACAACTCCTTGCTTGCTATTATCGACCATCAGCCAGGTCTTCTCGTTGGGACCCCCCAATGTTAGAATTCTCATCATCTTATTCTTTAGACCATTTGATTCTGACCACTTTGCCCAATACTGTTCGGCCAGTATAATCCCCTTCATATTCATGTTTGTTCGACTGGTGCATTTGCCCGGTTTATTCCTTTAGGTATAATATCCCATATCAACATTAAAATAAAATAAATAAAGAAGTATTAATTTTATTGACATTCTTGTAAAAAATCATAATAGCATCATTTACCCTTGAGTCTTCTTTATTGACCTGCTTGAACTTTCCACCTTTTCTTTGCCCCTTTTTGTTTTTTTGCTCTTGTCGTCCCAATGATGTGTTATTTAAGCATTTGTAACTCCCCTTCACTTGGCAGGATGTGGGTTGAAGACACAGACATTATCTTCATCAACCAATTCATCACATGAATCATCCATGTCCAAATTCTTCAAAAGACAAGTTATTTTTCATTTGCTTCTTCAAGGATTTCATTCAACCTACTTTTTGTCTCCTTGTGAGATTTGCTCAAATTCACCAAATCATACGAATTCCTCATTGCATGATTACAAAATGTCAATTGAGAAACACCACTAGTTTCATGAGGAGTACATGTTCTTTCAAATTCAGTACAAAACCTTTATTGGGTTATCCTTGACCACCAACTCATTGTATATGGCTCAGACAACAAAATGATATTCATAGAAATGAAAACTTTTAGTACATGTCTACATAGTATTCCCATTGTTTCGAACAAATGACATGAACACTTTACTTCAATATCGTACTTCTTAAAGAACACTTGCTTAACATTTGAGTTGTCGTTATATGACCGCATCTTGAATCCAACCCAACCATTGCCAAAATCATTTTGATCAATAAGAACAAGATTCAAAGACTCCAAAAATTCTCGCTCGAACAACTTATAGATGGAGAAAGTATATACTTCAGCCGCGTGCAACAACAAGGGATTATTTTTAACAATTTGGCTCGGCCTCCCATGGCTACAATGCGCATCATCATCTTTCTCAACCGACCTGCATTTATTTTGAACTTTTTCATAGTTCAAAACAAACTGATGCAAAGTAAGAGCCTTATTACCCAGGTCCTTCAAAACCCGGTTTGTAACCTCACTTCTTGAAGTGGCTAGAAGACCTGCACAAAATTTGTCATTACTAAACACTGTAGCCCATCTCTTTCTCAGTTATAGTTTATACATCCCCTTTAACCATCCGAGATATGTATATAATGTACTGATATGTATTCATGAAAAATGAGCAAAATGAATATGGAGAAAATTAGGATGAAATCATGAAATTTTCGGTGGGATGTGGACGTTTTTCGGCGAAAGTTGACTCCAAGCAAATTAGGAGCCCTTCCTCTAGCTCCAAACTGTTGATGTCGAAAATCGGACGATCAACCATTGAAAATTAATCGCATTTCTCATATCAAAATGGAGATAAAGATATAGACGGTGAAGTTCTCTCTTTTTTTTTTTTTGGAAGAGTTCTCCCTTTTTTATTGTTTGGTGGGAGATGAGGAATGGAGAAGAAGACCTTTAATCTCTCCTATTGCTACATATATATACATCCCTCATTTTTACAAGTGGGTGAATAAAATAAATAAAAATAGTATACCATTATTTAGCATGAGATAATCATCGTGGGACCCGCTTATGACTCTTGACAGTTCCGATTGACGTCCATCTTTTCGGCGATTGCAGCGTCTTTCCAGAGGCAGTTTCTTCCTGATATATGTGGCATCCTATTACTTTGAACTCTGTCCAACTCGGCAGCGGGCAGACTCGACATCTAAGGATCCGATCGGCTTCTGGGTGATCAGTCTTAAGAACCTGTTTGTATATTTATTTATCACGTTTTTTCAGCGTCTTGGTTATTGGGCCGTTCTTTATTGTTTTATTTATCATTTAATTAATTGGAGCCAAATTGGGTATCAACATCCCGCTTTGCATTTTGTTCTAGTTATTGATTTCAGATACTCCAGAATAATATTCCTAGAACATTTTTCATCTTTAACTCCTTCACAAGAACATTCAAATTCTTTCATTTGCAGTTCTTTAGTGCTCGAAAAGTACCGTTGATCACATTTTTTAACGTTAAAATCTTTGGCATGCACATATTGACAGTAAAGTAGATATGCTTCTTCAATGTTATTTATTTTCATACTACCTGACAGTCTATCTTCTAAATGCTCTACTACCATTACCCTCGATATCTTCATATTGCTCCGCAAAATAATGCTCCATTGGTTCAGTAATACCTATATACAACAAATATATTAACTCAGAAACTTATATATTAAAAAAAATAATTGTTGATGTATGATATGCTAACTATTAAGCTCACAAACTCAGTTCAATAAGATTCCCACCAAAAAAGAAACATACTGTTTATATGTTAAGTACCTTCATTATAATCACATCATGTGGCTATAATCACACTCAGTTCAATAAAAATCGCATGCTTCAGACAGAAATCCCTAATACTACCCGTGGTTCGTTATTTAGAAAATCACTTTAGTTTTGAAAATCCCTAATACTACATGTGGTTCATTATTTAGAAAGCAACCCAATAAATAGTATGTTTTTTTTTTT